AGTATGCTCTCATGATTTTAATTTCAAATGAGGTAGCGGTAAATAAAATAAGGCAAAGAATTATTAGTCCCGACATTTTATAAATTTATAATAAAATAGTTACAACTTTTTTCTTTCCCGATTATAGCCACTTTGAACATATCACTTATCTGGTTTATCCACTACGCTCTTCATATATCATCATGATTTAAATCAGTGATTCCCAAAGTGGTCTATATCGACCCCCAGGGGTCGATGACAACCTGCAAGGGGTCCATGTCAAGTTAAAAAATAAATTGGGGGTCCATGAAATGAAAATGGGGGTCAACAATAGTGGATCTCATATAAGCAGGTCATGACTTTAATTATGACATTTCATGAATGGAATAATCAACATACACCGATAGTACCTATTTACTTACATTATACTACCTTATAATATAAAGACATATATCTATCTACATTCTACATAATTTATAAAAGTAGCTATGAAGTAAAATTTTTATTAAAATTTAAGTTATTAGGATTATTTTCTGATATATGAAATTGAGTTATTATAAACTAGCAGTTGCCTGCAGCTCCGCCAGAGTACGTGTTTATTTTCTCTGCGTGTAAGGTTTTATTTTGTAACAAAATTTTTCCGCGATAAATTAGTTTGAATTTTATTAATAAACGTATAAAATTGACATGCGTTTTTTTCTTAAGTTTTTCACGCTACACTTCCCTACAGTTAGAAATTCAAATCTTTCACAGTGAGTAGCACTATATCATCTGTCAAATATACATTTGAAATTGATGTATTTACAAAAAATTAATATCAGGTAAATAGGGGTCTATCCAAAACCGAAAAACATGGCAAGGGGTTTACGAGAGAAAAAAGTTCGGGTACCTCTGATTTAAATGAAAAAATAAAAAGATAAATTAATTTGAGTGTTCATAACATGCATGCAAGCGTTAGATGATGCTCTGCGTTTGCAGCTCCAATTTTTTCAATTAGATCAGGAAGAAGAATTGGGGAAACGTTTGCAGCGTCAATTGCTTGCAGTGTGAAAATTGGAAGTTTGGCCCTATGAAGGGCCTTCAAGTTTTATTAATTGTTTATTTAGTTTTATTATTGTTTATACTTTTAGTTTTATTACTGCTTATACTTTTAGTTCTATTATTCTTTATATATTTAGCTTTATTGTTTAAACTTTTTGTTTTATTTCTTCATATGATAATTGTTAAGTGAGAAAAATAAATAGTAAAGTTCAGTCATAAGTTTCACTTAGGCAACGAATCTTTATACAATTACCGTCTTCTTGTACATTCTCGTTGGGAAATGGGAAGTGCTGACTGTTCGGCCATTTGTTGAAGAATATATTGATAAATATATTTCTCTTATTTTATATTACTTTACATATTTAATTATATTTTAATATTTATTAATTAATTAATTCTTTTTTTTTTCAGCCACAAATTTGCACTGTTCGGTTTGTTTTCTTGACATTGCAACTAGAGAAACCTTTTCCCAAATCGAATGTGGACATGCATTTCATTATTGGTGCATTAAAACGTGGTTGAATCAAGTAGGTATTTATAGAATGTTATAAACATATATATTTTTTTAATCATATAGATTTGTCCTATTTCCCCATTTTCTAAAACGGGAAATTCAAAATACGACATGGAATAAGAACTTTCAAATGTTATATATCAATTTACAAATCTTACGGCGGACTCGGATTTTTTGGCCCTGAAAACAGAAGACAGAGATACACTCCATCTCAAAATCTTAAGTTCGAGCAAAACATTTTGATTTTTAAAGGTAACAATAGAATGTTTATAGATAGACATTTTCATGTGATGTAATTTAAAAAAAAGGAAAGAAACAATTTACAGCAAAATGTTTATTTTATCATGAGTTAGATAAATAAAATAATTAAAAAAAATAAATGGGCTGTTCTTAAAGTTTCAGCACAAGGGCTAAAATAACACCATTCATCCATCTTAAAATAATTTGACTTGGAAACTAATACGCCATTTATATAAATAGAATTTTTTTTATTCATTTAATTAGGTACTGATGTGCTTCTGAGGATTCATGTTTTCTCAATAGACTCCAGAAGTTCTCAAACAGTGTTAAATCAATACCATTTCTAAATACTTGGCGAGCTAAACCGCCCAAAGCGTTTGCAATTAAATTTAGGTCTGGGATCAGAGTAAGCCAATAAGTGAACATTTTGTTGAGAATATTAACTTTTTTCGAACGTGAAGTATGTATCGAAGCATTATCTTGATGAAATATACAATCAATCCCTGCCAGAAGGCCTTGAAAAGAAAGCATATTTCCCCTCAGTGTATCTTGATGTGTTTTAGATATTAGTCTTCCCGTAATTAAATGCTCGAATGCCTGCTCATTAAATCCAAATGCTCCCCGAACCATTAGAGATTTGATTCTTGAATAAACTTCTTAGCTCTTTTCGAAAGTCAAGCCCGTATGAGTTGAAGCCATTAGCACCGTCTAAGTTTCAATTTTTATCCAATCAAAATATGAAATCGATTTAAACAAATTTTAAGATTAAATGATTAAAATAATAAGTCAAAACGGAAATGCAGCTAAAACCAAATTTGTCTTACGTAAACAAATTAAATAAAAAAAGATACCAAAAACAAGCGAAACGAAAATTTGAAGATATGTATGTTAGCAAAAACAGCACTTCAGCAATGTACACGCAGTGTTAGCAGGCAATATGTCTCCAGATGAAGTGCTGTTTTTACTAACATACATAATATTTATTTGACTGAACATTTATTTTTTTCTTTTCAGCATTCTACGTGTCCAGTCTGCAGAAAGGCAGTAAAAATGCTATGCATATACTCAAAAGTGATTAAAGATTACTTAAAATTAACTTACTGTTAATCATTTTCCACTTACTCTTCATTCATGTTATTTACGCAGAAAGAGAAAGAATTATTCACTTTCAGTACTGTTATATTGTGAACATTATCGTGTGATGTATTTTGCTCAATTTTTAAAAATATAAGAAAAAAAAAATTGTTTTAATTTCTTTGCACAAAGAAAAGAACACCACCTGTAATTTTGTAAATACATATATTGGATAACATTAAACGCTATTGTTATTTTATTTTATTTCATATTAATCAAAACACAGTTTTCATTCCACTGATAAAAGCTCCCAGCGTCTCTTAATTAGAAAGAGTAATTAGTCATATTTAAATAACGGGGCATTTTTACTTGTTCTTTTATGTTTTTAACTTTGTTTGAAAAAAATTGTCATATTTGAAATAAATATGTGTTCATTTAGTATAAAACCGTTTTAGGATTAATTTCATATTACAATAGTTCTACAATAGCTTACTCAACTTGCAAAAAAATGAGCCTAATGTAATGCATTTTAATCTAAATCACTGGGTTATATTGTTAAGTTACTCTGTTTATGTGAAAATCATCGTTATGTAATATAATTCGTCAATATAATTTTCATGAAAATCGTCGTAGGCTTTAAAATAGATTGGACATAAATATGTGTTTGTTTTATATAATAGTTAGCATTTCGGGATTTATTTCACTTTACAATAGCTTACTTATCCAACTTACAATAAAATATGTTAACGTTTTGAAATTTATTTTTGGGATTTATTTCACTTTGAATACCTCTGGAATCCAACATACTTACCCAACTTGCAATAAAATAAACCTCATGAAGCGCATTTTATTGTAAGTCAGAGGAGCCTCAGAGTTATTTTGTTTATATGAAAATCATCGTTGTACAGTAGAATTCATCCCTATATAATTCTGAATGAAAATCATCGTAGTCTTTAAAATAGATTAGACATAAATATGTGTTTATTTTATATAATAGTTAGCATTTCGGGATTTATTTCACTTTGCGTACCTCTACAATAGCTTACTTATCCAACTTACAATAAAATAAACCTAGAGAAGCACATTTTATTGTAAGTCACAGGAGGAGTTATTTTGTTTATATGAAAATCATCCTTGTACCGTAGAATTCTTCACTACATAATTACTGAATGAAAATCATCGTAGTCTTTAAAATAGATTAGACATAAATATGTGTTTATTTTATATAATAGTTAGCATTTCGGGATTTATTTCACTTTGCGTACCTCTACAATAGCTTACTTATCCAACTTACAATAAAATAAACCTAGAGAAGCACATTTTATTGTAAGTCACAGGAGGAGTTATTTTGNAGGAGGAGTTATTTTGTTTATATGAAAATCATCCTTGTACCGTAGAATTCTTCACTACATAATTACTGAATGAAAATCATCGTAGTCTTTAAAATAGATTAGACATAAATATGTGTTTATTTTATATAATAGTTAGCATTTCGGGATTTATTTCACTTTGCGTACCTCTACAATAGCTTACTTATCCAACTTACAATAAAATAAACCTAGAGAAGCACATTTTATTGTAAGTCACAGGAGGAGTTATTTTGTTTATATGAAAATCCTCCTTGTACCGTAGAATTCTTCACTACATAATTACTGAATGAAAATCATCGTAGTCTTTAAAATAGATTAGACATAAATATGTGTTTATTTTATATAATAGTTAGCATTTCGGGATTTATTTCACTTTGCGTACCTCTACAATAGCTTACTTATCCAACTTACAATAAAATAAACCTAGAGAAGCAAATTTTATTGTAAGTCACAGGAGGAGTTATTTTGTTTATATGAAAATCATCCTTGTACCGTAGAATTCTTCACTACATAATTACTGAATGAAAATCATCGTAGTCTTTAAAATAGATTAGACATAAATATGTGCCTATTTTATATGATAGTTAACGCGTTTCGGGATTTATTTCTCTTTACATACCTCTATAATAGCTTACTTATCTAAATTACTGTAATAATAATAAAATAAAGCACTCTTTATTGTAAGCCACTGTTTTTGTACCAATTAGTTATCTAGTTCTTCTGTTTTCCTGCCTCTTATTTATTTTGTTCTTACTTTCTATTAAAATCTTAAAAAAATCTCGGAGCATTTTATGTTATATTAAAAATATCTGCATTTGTTTTACACTTTCTGAATAAGGCGGTGATTGCTTAGTGATTGACAGAACATAACAAACATAAGCACCAAATATGGCAGGCAAGTACCCAGGTTTACATGCAAGGTTAAAAGAGGTATGCCCCGATGCAATTTTTTTCACCATGCCTAGCACATAACTTAACATTAATTTATGCACAGGCTGCAGGATGCGTATAAAAGCCTTTTTTGCAATTTTTGCTACTTAACTCTTTAATTACTTTAGTTCTCCATGCATCCCAGTTTCCTCCGAAATAGAGAAATATAAATGAGCTTATAATAATAGCTTTTTGTATGATCCATAAAGGAAATTTCAGAACATAGTATTTTTTATACTGTGAACTCAATTTCTTTACCTTTATCTATTACATGTGCTGCCCTCGCGATTTCCTTAATTTATACTGTGATTTTCGGATTGAAAAAAGATTGAAGATGTCTAGATTAATATACTTTTTTGAAGATTTTATACTACATCATACTTAATTTCTAAACTGCTTATCATAAAATTTCTTTAGAGCCACATTGGTTGTCATTGATTGATATGGATGGTTAAATTGATCGGGTACAGTGGCGTACGAAAGGGAGGGTTTTAGAGGTTTAAACACCCCTTTTGAGCTCAGACAAAATTGCGAAAATAAAAATTTGAGTAGAAATTTTGCGAGCTATTATTTTTTAAGACTATATATTTTTTTAAACTTTTTTTACTACTTTTTTTTTCCTCACGGTATTTCTCAGAATACTGAAAAAACATTTATTATAATAGGGTTGTACTTTTAAGACCAAATTCACGTGATATTGTTACGGACTGGTTCCTTTCTGTCCTGCCAGTATAGTTTTCGAAACTGGCTGTCATTCGCGAGGTCTTTACGCAATGAATCTGGAATCCTAGACGTTCTGTCGTCTTTGAGACAATTCGAGAATTTTGGAGATGCAGTGAAAAATTATATAAAAGGGGAAGGGGGAACGGAGTACAGTGGAGTTACAGCTTAAGGCCGTTGGCACCGTTGCCAGCTCCAATCGACGTCTCAATGTTATTCTATGGGAGAACATAAATCACTTTTTCTCAATAATTTACAACCTGACAGCTCAATGTTTAATATTAATGTATAGATCTCATTTAAACAAATATAACTACTGTAAAAAATTATTTTAAAATTCTATTAATAATTTTTAAAACAAGTTTGAATGTTATTTTAGAGTAATTTTCAAGCGTTTTTCA